GGAGCTGGAGCCTCAGCGCCGCGGGGGGGGGGGCGGGGGCGTCTTCCGGGGGCCACGGGGGTCTTCGTCGCCTCCCCTGCCGCCGCGGTTGCCAAACCTGGATTGAGAAATCCCTTGGAGATTTAGGGGAGGGAGCCTGAGGGTGGCGGGTTTGGGGTGGGGGGAACCTCAGCAGGGTATAAGGCAGCCGTTTTCCTCTACGACCTCTCTGTCGTCTGAAGATCAGTTGTAAGTCCAGGAGACCTCCAAGCCCCACCTGGAGGCTGGCAACCCTGTCTGCAGCCGTGAAATCCGCCTGGTCGCGGGACGGTTTCACTTTAAAGCATTCATGGGAAGGTTTGATGTTGATGCCTTCGGCTTCAGCCAGCCCGGGGGTTTCCTCTCCCTCTGGAACAGCTGCAGAGCAGAAATTCAACTGGTGAAGCGGTTATCTGCCTGGGAGTGAGGGAGTTTGTCTGCTGATGGTCTGGGGAGGGACGAGAGCCTTGCCAGAAAGCAAGGTGGCAACTCTGTTGTTCTTTAAAGCAAACAAGCAAACAAAACGTCCCAGGAAGAATCTCTTAAATTAGGACTGGTTAAGAGATTTTGGCTCCACAAGGCCAGGGTTCTTCTGCCTCTGGAACAGTTGCAGAAGGTGCACAGGTGAAGTTTTATCTGCTTGGGGTGAGGGAGTTTGCTGAAGGCCCAGAGGCACAAGAACCTTGCCAGAAAAACAAAGTGGCAACTCTGTTGTTAGTAGTAGTAGTAGTAGTAATAACAACAACCTCTCCAGCAAGAATCTATTAAGTTAGGGTTGGTTAAGAGATTTCCCACAACTGTTCCTCTGTCTTGAACAAAGACTTGTGTTTTCTCATTCATCACGGATAGTATCTTAACATACCCTGCAATTCGCACCTATTACAGATGTTAACTAGTTTGAAGATAGGTTCAGGTGGGGTAGCCGTGTTGGTCTGAAGCAGTAGAACAAAGGTTGAGTCCAGTCAGGCACCTTTAAGACCAACAAAGTTTTAGGCAAGCAGAAGTTTTATTCAAAAGCACACAAATGCTTATACCTTGAATAAAACTTTGTTGGTCTTAAAGGTGCCACTGGACTCAAACTTTGTTCAACTCATTTGAAGCGTCTGGTGAATGGTTTTTTGTGTTTTCTTTTTTTTTTTTGGTTAGCTGTTAAACATACACAGGCAGGAAAATGCGGGGGGAAGCGTGGCTGTTTGCCCCGGAGCAAAATAACGGCACGGCTGCACGATCAGACCTCCTGTTGAGGTCCCATGGTTAAGGGGGAGGTGCCAATCACAGGACAATCCTGCCTCATGGCAAAGAAGCGGCATCCGGTCCCCTCCAGGAGGAGCTTCAGCCAGGCCGCCCTCCCGCCACGCCTGCACCTCCCCCTCTGCCGCCCGGTGCAGAGAGTTTCTCTCGAGCAGGCCGAGCCAGGAGTGGGGGGGGTACGGAAAAGAGGAGGAGGCTGTGTTGTTTGTTTTTAAACGAAGTGTGTGTGTGTGCATGCGCTGTTGGGTGCTTGTGTGCATCCCGTGGAGACTTGGGGAAAAAAACCTTTTAGCAACAGGACATGGGCGGGTGCCGGATGCCATGACCTACCACCGGAAACGCGATCAGGCGCCCGCCCTTGCCCTGCGGTTTCCAGAAACTAGTACCTTGGACGTACTAGTTTTTTACCCCGCATCTTCGGCGGGAAGCCTTGGGCTCGCCACGGGAGCTCTACGCTTCCCAGATGTGGCGCTGTGATCGCGCCCGGAAAATCCGCCTATCTTCCGTCTCTGTAGCGCGGCTAATGCTCCGTGTGACCGCAGCCACAGTTGTGTTTCACTCTCACCTTCCTGCTTTCTCTCGATCCTTATTTTTGTTTCCATGCCCCTTATATAAAGTGACTGCCCAGTGAGGATTCACTTGTTGTGTCTGGAGAAGTTCACAAAAGCTTGTGCTGGGATAAGCTAATAGGCTAATCTGGCCTGAACTAGCTGAGACAAAGAGGGGAAAAGATCTCAGGGTCCTAGTTGATAGCTCAGTGAAAGTGTCCACTCAACATGCTGCAGTGGTGAAAAGGGGAATGTGTTAGGGATTATTAGGAAAGGGATTGATAATAAAATGGCCAATATTGTAGTGCCCCTGTATAGATCTATGGTGCAGCCTCAATTGGAGTCCTGTGTACAGTTCTGGTCACCATATCTCAAAAAGGACATGGCAGAGCTGGAAAAAAGTACAGAGGAGGGGCAACCAAGATGATTCGGGGGTTGGAGCACCTTCCCTATGAGGAAAGGCTAAAGAATATGGGACTTTTCAGTTTTGAAAACTAAGAGGTTTATAAAATTATGCATTGAGATGGGGAGAGTTGACAAAGAGAGCTTTTTCTCTCTCTCCTAAAATCCAAGAACTCGGGGGCATCCAATGAAGCTGATGGGCAGTAGGTTCAGGACGGACAAAAGGAGATTCTTCTTTACACAGAGAGTGATTAAAATGTGGGATTCGCTGCCAGAGGATGTAGTGATGGCCGCAGGAATGAACAGCTTGAAAAGGGGATTAGATACTACTAGCCATGGTGACTGAGAGGAACCATCATGTTCATAGGCACTAATCCTCTGAATCCCAATGCCAGGAAGCAACATCAGGGGAAGGCCTCGGCCTCTATGCCTTGTTGTTGGCGTCCCAGAGTAACTGGTTGGCCAGTGTGTGAGACAGAATGCTGGGCTAGATGGACCACTAGCCTGATGCAGCAGAGCTCTTCTTACGTTCTTAATAGAAATTTATTAGTCTTCCAGGTGCCTGTTTTTCAAAGTGCGATAGATCCAAAACGACTGCCCTTCTGAAAGCTTATTACAGCAGCTATGAAAAACTTCCCCTGAACCTACTTCCGATCAGTTTCATCGGACGCCCTCAAGTTCTAGGATTTGGGAGAAGGAGGAAAGGTTATCTTTGTCCACTCCCTCCAGCCCATGCAAAGTTTCCAGTTGTCTTCTGGCTCAGTCAGTCCTATGCCTTTTAACCTGGGAAGGATGTCCCACTGTGGGGTGTACCCCTGCGTAGGGGCGTGGGTGGGATTGCAAACTTACCCTCCCTATAAAAGTGACTAAAGCTGCTGAAGTGGGGGGGATATTTGATGGGGGGAATAAGCTGGTAAACGGACCAGGCTGACTGCCTCAGATGTGGGTGATGATTCACTGGAACTGCCCTGAGGACGAATGCATTGGCCCATCACAAAATCCATGTAATAATACTTATTAAAACCAACCAGAAAACTCACAATACAGTGTGTAAGTGTCAGCAAGCTGCCAAATGTTCTTTTAGGTTCCTGATCATATTCTGTGTATGCTCTGATACATTGTGCACGCAACGTAGTCTTTCCCCACCCCACGGGGAGCAGCGCTTCTGTACCCATGCGCATGCCTAGACACTGCCTGCTTGCAAGAAATTATTTGCTGCTTGGTTATCTGTCCCAAGGTCACAGGTGTTGGAGTGGAGTATTCTGTGCTTCACTTCTAATGAGGGGAAACTGTGAGAAAGGCTTTGTAGTAATAATAACCTGGCCGTTTGGTTCCCAGGAAAGTAGCCGCGCAAAAGAGGCTTTTTGGCTCGAGTGGGAATTATAATCATTGGCTGTAACCATTTTGAATGTGCTTTATGCTTGTCTGCTCTGTGGTCCCTGGTTATTCTAAACAGAGAATCTGTTCAGTGACTCATGTCTGTCAAATAAAGTTATCCTTTCTACAAGGGTGACTCCGTTGACTTCGTGAGACCTGACAGTAAGCTTTTGAGTTCTCCAGTACTCTCCATCAGGGTTCCGGGCAGAGGTTTCCCCGGTCCCTGTGATTCATTGCAGGTACCCTTCTTGCTTACTTACTTTGTCATGCTGGTGTGCCTTTGTTAAAAGGAACCAAGAAGTTGCGTGGAGGAACTTTTTTTGTATAAATAGCTGCGAAGCTCACAGTTGTGTGCTTGGTTTAGTGGTATTTCTTGGCAAAGGAACACTTTTTTTGTGGAAGCCTGTCGCTGAGAGAGAATTGGTTTTTATTTCCGTAATTGGCCGGTGCCTATTTATATAAAAATGTACTTCTCGGCTTCTCTTTTTCCCACCTGGAAGTGTTATGATTTCTTTGCAGTCCTAAGGAGCTGGAGCAGTGTTCTCTCCAAGTACTGGAGCCTGATGGAAGTCCCAGCAGGAGTCTCCTTCAACTCTTGGGCGAAAGGGGCTGCACCGTGTTGGACCTCAGAGAGCTGCTACAGGCACTCGAGCACAGTGAGGCTCTCCAGTGCCTCACTCCTCCAAGTAAGTTTTGAGTTTTCATGATAAAGCCACTTCTCTGTGTCTTTGACTGAACATTCTCTTTGAGGCGGGCTGTGCTGTGGTTGGTGTAGTGGGTGAAGTATTAGACTAGGTGCTGGGAGACCCAGGTTCGAATCCGCACGCTGCCATGGAAGCTTGCTGGGTAACCTTAGGCCAGTCACTCTCTCTCTCAGCCTAACCTACCTCACACATAAAATAGAGGAGCAGGGTGTGATGATGTGACCAATTTGGTTTCCCGTTAAGGTAGATAGGTAGGTCGTATTTATTGTGTAGGGCCAAAGGCCATTAGGAGCTGCGGTGGCTCAAGTGGTTAAGACGCTGAACTGCAGGCTGTGGAAGGTCAGTCGTTCAGCAGTTGGAGACCCGGGTGTGCCGCATGACGGAGTGAGCTCCCATCTCTAGTTCCTGCTCCTGCCAACCTAGCAGTTCGAAAGCAAGAAATTGCAAGTAGATAAATAGGTACCACTTCGGTGGGAAGGTAACAGCGTTCCGTGTGCCTTGGTGTTTAGTCATGCCGGCCACATGACCACGAAACGTCTTCGGACAGCGCTGGCTCTTCGGCTTTGAAACGGAGATGAGCACCGCAACCCTAGAGTCGGATTCGACTGGCTTTTGAGCAAGGGAACCTTTACCTTTACTAAAGGCCATTACAGTTGTATGAGTGTTAAGTGCTGTCAAGTCACCTCCAACTTATGGCTGGCTCCTTCTTGGGCGATTTATAAACATAATATAATAAATAAATAGAAATATGAATTAATCTCCTCCAAAACATTGTATCATTATCAGCCTGGCTCAGGTCTTGCAAACTGAAGGCTGCGGCTTCCTTCACTGAGTGATCAATCCATTTCACGTTGGGTCTTCCTTTTTTCCTGCTGCTTTCCACTTTCCCTAGCATTATTGTCTTTTCCAGTGACTCGCTTCTTCTCATAATGTGAGCAAAGTACGGTAGCCTCAGTTTATGACAATTCTGTCACAGAGCTGTCAGTTTTGATATATCAGTGTGTGTGAGAACCATAATTAGAACTATAAAATGTGAGTTCCGTAACCTTCCCTGTTTTCTGAAAGAGCAAGTAGAGCTTAAATGCCACCAGTTCATGCAGTCTGTAAACGGAAGGTCAAAGTCTTCGTTATTGTACCAATGTTGGTTTAAGATCTTAGCGATGGTCTCCCACAAGATTTATAACGGCATGCAAAGAGGAATGCACCTGGCTAATTAGTTCTGCTCCATTGGTTTTCAATTCCAAGCTGGTAGTTTTATATGGATGTTTTGAGGACATTGAGACAAAGTCCCTGTGTTGTTAATCCTGGAAACTAACTTTTGCAAGTGTTAGGAAGGAGGAGGAGAAGAAGTGGGGGAGGGGACTAGATTTATACCCCGCCCTTCACTCAGAGTCTTACAGTGGTTTACAATCTCCTTCCCCTTCCCCACAACAGACACCCTGTGAGGTAGGTGGGGCTGAGAGAGCTCTTTCGAGGACTGCTCTTGAGAGAACATCTCTGAGAGAACTTGTGACTGACCCAAGGTGATGCCAGCAGCTGCATGTGGAGGAGTGGAGAATCAAACCCGGTTCTTCCAGATTAGAGTCCGCGCTCCGAACCACTACACCAAATTGACTCCTGTTGTAGCATGACAGCAAAAAGTTTATAGAAACCGAATGCAGAATGAGAGATACAAGAACAGGTAGATTGGGATTCTTTAGTCCATGAATGGATTTGTGGGTCCTAGGAGGTTCTAAGGGCACATGGAACAGCTAGATTTGAGTTCATTAGCACCTTAGAGACTAGCAAGATTTCCGGGGTAAAAGCTTTTGAGGGTCACAGCTCTTTGACTCTTGAACACTTATGCCTTGAAAATGTAGCTGCCCCCTGAGGTGCTGCTGGACTCGAATCCAGCTCTTCTGCAGCAGACCAACACAGCTACCCTTTGAAACTACCTTTTGTATTTTTATTTATTTAAACTATTCAGAAGCCTCCCTTTCTCTTTTGCTTATTGCTATGGCTGATATCAAACTAAACTATTGAATAGAGCCAGTTTGGTGTAGTGGTTGGTGGTGCGGACTCTAATCCGGGAGAACCGGCTTTAGTTTTGCTGGTGTGACCTTGGGTCAGTCATAAGTTCTTTCAGAGCTATTCTCTCAAGGGCCGTTCTCTGGAGAGCTCTCTCAACCACATCTACCTCACAGAGTGTCTGTTGTGGGGAGAGGAAGGGAGATTGCAAGACTTGCATGGCGGGGGATTACACCCATCTCCCCCTCCTCCTCCTCCTCCTCTTCCTCCTCCTCCTCCTCCTCCTCCTCCTCCTTCATATTACTTTAATGGTAAAGACCCATCAAGTATACAGGCTTTAATCATTCATTATTATACAGCTCCTTTCCTTTCCTTCCCTCTCCTTTTTTTTTTTGTAGGTATAAAGATAGTTGTAGAACCAGAATCCCAGGCTGTGTTCTCTGGGCAGACGGTGAAGCTGAACTGCTTGGCAACTGGGCATCCACTTCTACATTATCAGTGGTTTAAGCAAGAAAAAGAGGTAACCACGTTGGAAAGTTCTCGAAGGGTGCTGGATGTATCGATAAAGGCTGGAGCAAAATTGTAAATTTCAAAATGGGAAATAAATCCGTAGGGGTGAAGGTGCTTCTCAGAGCTCATGGACATTTTGAGATATCCGTCTACTATATCTTCTGAATCATACTGGTAGCTTTGATCAAGACGAAGAAGAAGAGATTGGGATTGTACCCCGCCCTTCACTACCCGAAGGAGTCTCAGAGCGGCTTATAATCGCCTTTCCCTTCCCCTCCCCACAACAGACATCCTGTGAGGTAGGTGGGGCTGAGAGAGCTCTCTTGAGAACTGCTCTTTCGAAAACAGCTCTGAGAGAGCCATGACTTATCCGAGGTCGCACCAGAGAGCCAGTTCGGTGTAGTGGTTAAGCGTGCGGACTCTAATCTGGGAGAACCGGGTTTGATTCCCCACTCCTCCATTTGCACCTGCTGATGTGACCTTGGGTCCGTCACAAGCTCTGGCACAGCTGTTCCTGAAAGAGCAGTTTGTGTCAGAGTTCTCTCAGCCCCACCCACCTCACAGGGTGTCTGTTGTGGGGAGGGGAAGGGAGAGGGGGTTGTAAGCCGCTCTGAGACTCCAAGTGAAGGGCGGGGTATAAATCCAATCTCTCTCTTCTTCTCTTCATGTGAAGGAGTGGGGAATCAAACCCTGTTCTCCCAGATTAGAGTCCGCGCTCCTAACCATTACATCAAATTAGGGATCAAGGTGAATTGCAGTCATCATGTTGTATGGGAAGAGTGTGTGTGTTATGGGCAGTGTTTCCTCTAAGCTGAGTTAGTGTGAGCTAGCTCACAATTTTTTAGCCTCTGGCTCGCACATTTTTGTCTTGACTCAGGAAGGGTAGCTCCAGAGCAAACTAATTTATGCAGTAGCCAAATCGCTTGCTCACAACTTTAATGCCAGCAGCTCACAAAGTAGAATTTTTGCTCACAAGACTCCACAGCTTAGAGGGAGCATTGGTTATGTGCTGTCAGTTTGCTTCTAATTTATGGTGACCCTATGAATTAATGACCCCCCCCCCCAATTTCCTATTATTAATAGCCTTGCTCAGGTCTTGCAAACTGAGGGCTGGTGCTTCCATCCTGGATTGAGTCCATCCATCTCATGTTGGGTCTTCCTTTTTTCCTGCTGCCTTCCAACTTCTCCTAGCATTGTTCTCTTCTCCAGTGACTCTGGTCTTCTCGTGATGTGATCAAAATACTTTAGTTATTTGACCTTCTAGGGAGAGTTCAGGCTGGATTTGATCTAGAACCCACTTAATTTGCCTTTTTGTGGTCCACAGTATCTGCAAAAACCCTCCTTCAAGTAGTCCAATGGACTGGTTTTTTCCCTTGTTTTGTGTAGCTGCTTTTGGCTGAAAACTCAGAGTCGGCTACTGCGAAAGTGTATTTTATTTCTTTAAACATGGAATGCTCCCAAATTATTTTTGAAATCACTTCCCTACATTGTTTTGGCAGCTTAAAACCCGCCTTCCAAAGAAAGAGTTAAGTATTCAAATTCTGCCGATCTGTTTTACTAGGGAGTGAGTGAGTTTCTGTCTGGTAAATGACGCCCAAATCTATAAGGCCATCCAAATGTCGGTTATAAATCACTAACATCCAGATGCTGTGGCAGGTCCGGAGATTGTACTGTGGCCTCCAGTTAGTTAAGGCTTTAAAAAGCAATTGCCTGCAGACTGCCCTTCCAAAACCTGATTTGCTGTCAGATCGCAGTCAATTGCTCTTCTGTTCAGAGGTCTGTGCCCATTTCTGCCTCTCTTTATCCAAGGCCTGTTGTGCCGTAACACGATTCCCCCCTTCCTTAGAAAATGATGACTGTAGCTATTGTTAAAAGTTTAACTGGGTGTTGACCTTCAGTCAACATGCTGAATTGTTTTTCTGGCTGTGTTTCTAATAAAATGTCTAGGAAATCTTCACAAGGATCAGTCAAAGAGAAGACAGTTTCTGAACTAACAAGCTAGCCATGTGGAGTCCTTTACAGAGGATGTAATACCAATGACTATTTGAGTATTTCCCTCCCTTATTGATCATGAGTATTAGAAACATAAGAACATAAGAGAAGCCAATGTTGGATCAGGCCAATGGCCCATCCAGTCCAACACTCTGTCACACAGTGGCCAAAAAAAATACCAGGTGCCATCAGGAGGTCCAGCAGTGGGGCCAGGACACTAGAAGCCCTCCCACTGTTGCCAACCCAAACACCAAGAATATAGAGCATCACTTGCCCCAGACTGAGAGTTCCTATCTATAGCTTGTGGCTAATAGCCACTGATGGATCTTTGCTCCATATGTTTATCCAATTCCCTCTTGAGGTCGTCCATGCTTGTAGCCGCCGCCACCTCCTGTGGCAGTGAATTCCATGTGTTAATCACTATTTGGGTGAAGAAGTACTTCCTTTTATCCGTTCTAACCCAACTGCTCAGAAATTTCATTGAGTGCCCATGAGTTCTCATATTGTGAGAAAGGGAGAAAAGTACTTCTTTCTCTACCTGCTCTATCCCATGCATAATCTTGTAAACCTGGATCATGTCACCCCTCAGTCGTCGTTTCTCCAAGCTGAAGAGCCCCACGTGCTTTAACCTTTCTTCATAGGGAAAGTGTTCCAACCCTTTTATCATTCTAGTTGCCCTTTTCTGCACTTTTTCCAATGCTGTAATATGCTTTTTGAGGGAATAATTGATTGCTAGGAAAAAAATCATGGAGAATGTCCTGAAATACACACATAAATGCACATGAAGCTCCCTTATACAGAAGCAGATCACTGGTCCACCAAGGTGGGTATTGTCTGCTCAGACTGACAGCAGCTGTCCAGGGTCTCAGGTGGAGGTTTTGCACCATCACCTACTGCCTGCTCCTTTTTTGACTGGAGATGCCAGGGATTGAACCGGGGACCTTCTGCATGCCAAGCAGAGGTTCTTCCACAGAGCTGCAGCCCTTCCTCTCAATACCTTGAGCTCAGTTTTATTTAAAGGCTTTAGAATATTAGTATTTCCGTAGCATTTTAAAAACCTGATGCCCAGAAAGTCTACACTGGTAGGGTGAGGGATGTCAGTAGTTATGCCAGTGCAATTGCATAAAATGTGGTAAAGCGAGGTTAGGCCTGGGGCTTAAGCCATTGCAAGCGCTGAGCAAAGGAAGTAAAAAAATATGAGCAAGTAACACCAACCTATCTGATGGTCTTCACAGCTTTGCCATTTCCTTGATGAGGAAGATTAGCTAACTAATAAATGTATGTCTTTGTGGTGGTATAGGAGAGGCAGTTTGGTGTAGCGATTGAATGGAGGACTCTAATCTGGGGATCTGGGTTCGATTCCCCACTCCTCCACATGGAGCCAGCTGGGTGACCTTGGGTCAGTCACAGCTCTCTCAGAGCTCTCTCAGCCCCCCAAAATAATGAAGTAGAAGTAGAAGAAGAGGAGGAGTTGGATTTCTACCCTGCCCTTCCCTTGGAGTCTCAGAGTGGCTCACAAATTCCTCTCCCCACAACAGTCACCCTGTGAGGTAGGAGGGGCTGAGAGCTCTGAGAGAACAGCTCTTGAGAGAAAATAAGTCTAGCTCGCCGCAAAAAAGCTAGAACTTGAGGCTGCCAGACAGTCTTTGGATCTCCCGGCTATACTACACACAATGCCGTATGATAATTAATCAATCGATTTGTGGTGGTATGACTTCAGATTCAAGTCCAGCATGATGTACTAAACCACATTAAGTCAGAGGACTTGTTTTAGAAATTTCTTAGTGTCCCCCCCCCCCCCCCGTGTGATGTAGTACCTACAATGTCCAAATTGTTCCATAACTCTGCTCATCCTCGAATTTCACTGGATGACCTTCATCAAAGCAGCTTCTTACAGCTTAATCTAAAGGTAAAGGTAAAGGTTCCCTTGCTCGAAAGCCAGTCGAATCCGACTCTAGGGTTGCGGTGCTCATCTCCGTTTCAAAGCCGAAGAGCCAGCGCTCCCCGAAGACGTTTCCGTGGTCATGTGGCCGGCATGACTAAACACCAAGGCGCACGGAACGCAGCTTAATCTACCCGCACATAAACATGGAAGCGTTTATTTATTTAAAATGTTTATTAGCTACCCTTACAGAGCCCAAGTTGGCTTACAGTATTAATAAAATACAGTAGATTACATTAAAAATTTATTTATTTATTTATTTTTCAAATTTATACCCCGCCCTCCCCAATAGGCTCAGGGCGGCTGAAACCAAAATTCAAAATCACAGCTCAGGACTGCTGGTAAACAACTAAGTGCAGTTCTAAAGAAAACCATTTTCAACTGCTTCCTAAAGATCAAACGTGAGGGGGCCGGATGCATTTCCCTGAGGAGGTTGTTCCATAATCCTCTCCCAGTGATCTTAATTCCTGGGCAGGGACATCTGGCACAAGATGGTCCTTCAGATACTCTGATCTCAAGCCATGTAGGGCTTTAAAGGTCAAAACTAGCACCTTGACTTGGGCTTGGGAGTGGATTGGTAGCCAGTGCAATTGCTGAAATATCAGGGTCACTTGCTGTCACTTGCTGCTTTGAGGATGGAGAGCCAGTTTGGTGTAGTGGTTTAGAGCATGGACTCTAATCTGGGAGAACTGGGTTTGATTCCCCACTCGTCCACATGGAGCTGCTAGAGTGACCTTGGGTTAGTCACAGTTCTTTCAGAGCTGTTCTCTCAAGGACAGTCCTCAAAAGAGAAGAAGAGTTTGGATTTATACCCCGCCCTTCACTTGGAGTCTCAGAGCGGCTTACAAACTCCTTTCCCTTCCCCTCCCCACAACAGACACCCTGTGAGGTGGGTGGGGCTGAGAGAGCTCTGACACAAACTGCTCTTTCAGGAACAGCTGTGCCAGAGCTTGTGACTGACCCAAGGTCACATCAGCAGGGGCAAGTGGAGGAGTGGGAAATCAAACCGGGTTCTCCCAGATTAGAGTCCGCACACTTAACCACTACACCAAACTGGCTCTCTCAGCCCCACCTACCTCACAGGGTGTCTGTTGGGGGAAGAGGAAGGGAAGGAGATTGCAAACTACTCTGAGACTCCTTTGGGTAGTGAAGGGTGGGGTATAAATCCAATCTCCTCCTCCTCCTCCTCCTCCTTTGTAGTTGAACCTTTGGTCTATCATCAAGACCAAGTCAAACCCTTGGTCTGTCAAGGCCAGTATTGTCTACGTTGTCTGACAGCGGCTCTCCAGGGTCTCACGTCTAAGTCTTTCACATCACCTTCTAAAGATGCCAGGGATTGATTGTACCTGGTACATTCTGCATATGAAACAGATGCTGTACCCCTGAACCACAGACCTACCCCAAAGACAGAGTAACAATAGGATAACACCATGATGCTCTAAGGAATGGTGTGACGAAATGTGACGATCAGTATTCATCTGAACCATTTCTGGGCTTCATAGTCTCGTTTTCCTTACCAGTGGGTTTGACCACAGCTCTCATATAGAAAAATCTTTGTCCTTTATTTTATATTATGGTTTGTGCTAAGCGTTTCCCCCCCCGCCCCTTCCCTGTGCAACATAGATTCCACATGGGAATTCTCCAGAGCTGGTGTTCAACCAAGCAAACGCAGACGACACTGGCTTCTACATATGTCGAGTGAACAGCGGCTTTTCCTTTGTGTTCAGCCAATGGGCACAGCTGACTGTCTGTGATCTCCAAAGGACTTGCCCGGGTGAGTTACAAAACACAACAAATGATCATTAGGGCCAGGAAATACTTCAGACCAAACACTATCTTAATAAGCTTCCATTGTATAATATGTAAAGGTAAAGGTTCCCTTGCTCGAAAGCCAGTCGAATCCGACTCTAGGGTTGCGGTGCTCATCTCCGTTTCAAAGCCGAAGAGCCAGCGCTGTCCGAAGATGTTTCCGTGGTCATGTGGCCGGCATGACTAAACACCAAGGCACACGGAACGCTGTTACCTTCCCACCGAAGTGGTACCTATTTATCTACTTGCAATTTCTTGCTTTTGAACTGCTAGGTTGGCAGGAGCTGGAACTAGAGACGGGAGCTCACTCCGTCATGCGGCACACCCGGGTCTCGACCTTCCACAGCCTGCAGTTCAGCGTCTTAACCACTTGAGCCACCGCAGCTCCTGTATAATACGTAGTATGGTGTAATACAGTTCGTGATGGTGATCATTGATCCTTGTAGCGTATTGCTAGATTGATAGAAGTGCCGATGGCTCAGATGACAGCCATTGTTGACCGAATGGCATTTGCTTCCGGGAAGTTCAGGCTTTCTTTGTCTCCTGTTCAACAGGCCACCCACATATAGGTCAAGATGTAGGTGAGCACAGGACTTGGCCTTTCCCCGGCCTCCTCAGTTTTTCCTCTCAAGAAGCTCTCCATGGAACTCTGGGGTGCTTTTTAAGACGAGGCATCACTGAAGGCGCATTATGCGTATTTTTTTGTTTTAAGGTTGATTACAACATCAGAGAATGATCATTCCTGAGTATAAACAATTAAAGGAGAGTCATTACTTGAGCCCATGAGCCTGTTTTAGTAAAAGTAAGCAGGTCACAAGCAATGCTCCCTCTAAGCTGTGGAGTCTTGTGAGCAAAAATCCTACTTTGTGAGCTATGGGCATTAAAGTTGTGAGCCAGCCATTAGGTTGCTTCATAAATTAGTTTGCCCTGGAGCCCTCCTTCCTGAGCTGAGACAAAAATCTGTGAGCCAGAGGCTAAAAAACTGTGAGCTAGCTCACACCAACTCAGCTTAGAGGGAACACTGGTCACAAGTGAGGAACCCCTTCTAAGAAGGAGGAGATAATCAATGTTTTAGAGGTCCTACTGGTGGAGGGCCTTGATCTGGATGGCCCAGGCTAGCCTGATCTTGTCAGATCTCGGAAGCTAAGCAGGGTCGGCCCTGGTTAGTACTTGGATGGGAGACCACCAGGAAAGTCCAGGGTTGCTGTGCAGAGGCAGCAATGACGAACCACCTCTGCTGTTCTGTTGCCTTGAAAACCCTACAGGGTTGCCTTAAGTCGGATGTGACTTGATGGCACTGGATACCACTGCTAATGGTAGAGTGATGGTGTCCTCACAGGCAAGTAGATGTCCACGGTGCTTGGAAGCCATGCTCACATGAGTGAACGGGATATAAATCCAATCTCTCCTTACTATATCTGAGTTTTCGTGTCCCTCTTGCCTCAACATTCCACATGCCCCCACAGCCTTTGGCTTCCAGGCTTGTCACGCAGGAGGTCTGCCAATCCCCTGGCTGCATTCCCTCGCTGCTTGACTCAGTCCTGCCCACACAGCCGCCGGCCACCGTCTCGCCCTCAGTCTGCAGCGAGCCGGCAAAGGATGCTCCCCTGGCCGGAGGCTACGGAGACCCACTGGGAGGGAGGGAGGGGGCGGGGCAAAAGGCCAAAACACGGACGGTGGAGGAGCACCACTGACAGCCCCCTCCTGCCCACTTCTCCTTCTCTCCGCCCTCCCACCCTGTGGAGGTACAGCCCCCTCAGAAGCGTGGGCCCGAGTGTCGGAGAACCTCTGGCAGCACCTCAAGCGCCGCGCAGCAACACGGTCTGCGCCTGCGAGACAGTCCACGGCCCCACTGGGAGACAGTCCATGGTCCCACCCAGGGCCAGGGGAAGACAGACCTCCGGCTCCAGGGGAGCCCACCCAGTGCTCACTGTGGGGTCCCCTGCCACCTCTGCTCTGAAGGCAAGCCCACGACACACGGCCACTGCTGCTGGTGCCAGTCACGGCCAGGGAAGGGCCGACGGCCACGTCAGCCACACCAGGCCTGTTGGGGAGAGGCTTCCCTTGCAATGTCACGACGGCAATGCTCCCCCACACCCCACCTCCGAGCCCAGCCCGGAAACACCACCCTCCCCCCCTTCACCGGGCCCACCGCTCTCTGGTACGAGATGCTCGAGCCCTGCCCTGTGCTGTGCCACCACCCAGGGAATCCGTGGGTCCCCCCCCCCCGAGGGGATGAGAGGTACTGGCTGCCCCAGCCAACTTCCTTTCACAGCGTGAGGCGGCTACGGCCCCCTTCCAAGTGGGACAGACTGTGCGTTGATTCTACAGGGAGCACTTCTATGCGCTTCCCATGGCCCGCCCCCATGGAGGAGACGGCGACCACGGAAGGGGACGAGGCCGACATCCACGACCTCCACGGGCCCCGGCACTCGCTCAGCAGCTGAAGGCGGCACTCCCTACCCGAGGCCAGTAGAGATGCGTCGCGCTGGGACACCAGTGTGGGCTCCTTTCTAGAGCTTGTTGTCTTCATTCTCACAACGGGCCTTCTTCCTAGAAAATACATAGATAAAATAATTCCAGTAGCCAGTGAGTTCTGCTATCTAGGTGGGTTGAGGAGAACTGCGTTTTCCTGGAACAAAACGTCCATTTGGGAAAATATGGCTCATCCACAGCAGAAGTCCGATGTTCAAGAAGGATGTCTGGACTGTAAGCATTACGTTACTTGTTTGCTTCAAGAAGAGCAAAGTGGCATTAATGGCTGAAAAAACTGACAGTCTGGAAAAACCTTTAGGGAGTCTTTCTGTGGTCAGTTTCTAGGTTTTCCTGAAGGTTGTCACTAATATTAATAGAAACTGCGTGCGTTATCTTCTGCCAGTTTCTTCTTTTTCACACACCCCAGACTATACTTCTGGTTTCGTAAGTCTTTTTCTCTCCCCCCCCCCCAGTTAAGCTGTTTCCTAATTCACAGAATTCTAGAAATCTTCCTGTTTAATCTGTTGGCATGCAGTAATACCAATCACACCAAATGTCAACTGTTTCGTAACTCTCGACTTGCTGTGGTTTGGAATTTTAATGAGACATAATAGGACTCTCAGCAGACGTAAGCGCCACTAAGCAATTCTGAATCCCCAAAGAGAAGACTATATATAATCATATGACAGTACAGCAGAGTACTTGCAGAATGCAGTGGTAATGTTCTCTGTGTAAATTTACGCCAGGGAGGTAAGCATGCGGGAAAAACAGATTAATATTATGATAAGGTTACATGGGGAAAAGCTAGAACACCTGGAATGTTCTGTGTGATAGTCATACATATCCTTTGGTTAGCAGAAATAAAGCAATCTGTATTATTCTTGTCACCCCACTTGCCCAGTTGGTTTTTGAATTGCCAAAAAAAAAAAAAAAAACTTCTGAAGGTCTAGACTAGAATGGAACAGCAGGTCTTTTGTAAATGCATGCCCTTCTTGCCTAAGACCTACTTAACCCAGAGGTTTTCAACGTGGTGCCCGCCGGCACCTTTCCTAGCACCCACAAGTGTTTTTCAGGGCCGCGGTGGCTCAGAGGTTAAGACACTGAGCTGCAGACCGGAAGGCCAGTAGCTCGGCAGTTCGAGACTTGAGTGCCGCGTGACGGAGTGAGCTCCCATCCCTGGCCCCAGCTCCTGCCAACCTAGCAGTTCGAAAGCAAGAAATTGCAAGTAGATAAATGGGTACTGCTTCGATAGGAAGGTAACAGCATTCCGTGGGCCTTGTTATTTAGTCATGCCGGCCACATGACCATGGAAAAGTCTTCGGAGAGCGCTGGCTCTTCGGCTTCGGAACGGAGATGAGCACCGCAACCCTAGAGTCAGATTCGACTGGCTTTCGAGCAAGGGAAACCTTTAGGTAGGTAGGTAGGCAGGCAAACAGATAGATGGGGGGGGGCGGTTTCTTCTGCTTCCCCACAGCATTGTGGTGCCATCATGCATCTCCTGGGTGTCCCCTGCCTCTTCTGTGATATTTCCCAAGCCTGCTTTGTTGTGATGTTTGGGAAAGATCACAGCCAGGGGTCATTTCGTAGAAAAAGAGCTAGGGGGACTCATTAGCATAACTCATTAGCATATGCCACACCCCCTGACATCAGGGGCCCGGCGGTGGACCTGCAAGGCCGGCAGGAGTGCGAGGAAGCCCCGCGAAGGCCCTCCCTGGCCCCAGGCAGGCAGGGGTGGGGAGAAGCGGGGAGGAAGCAACTTACCCTCCCTCTTCTCCTGCCTCCTCCTGGCTGAATGAGGGCTGGAAGCGGGGCGGCCGGAAGCAGGGGGCGGGGCTTCGTCATGTGCCCCTCCCCCCGTACCTCACCCGGGGGAACTGCGATCCCCCGCGTTCCCCCCCGAAATGACCCATTGGCGCCGTTTTCCCTGCCCACAGTCACTGCAATAGCCACCCCCCACACACCACCAACGGACACTCTCTAAATGTTCTTTTTCTTTGGCAATTGCTATATTGATATATCAGTACAATGGTATTTTGGTTCCTCAATTACCATTTTTTTTAAAAAAGTCATCAGAAAAAATTGTGGCGACCATGGGCACTGGGACAGGGGAAATGTGGGCAGCCCACCCATGTGGAAGTCCTGTGGCCAATATGCAACACTAGTAAGAATGGTTAAGCCATGGAGACTTGTCACCATGTGGAAGAGGCCTTATTTTGTTAGCTACTTCAATGAAACCCCACCTTGCTCCCCAGCTGGGGGCCCCAAAAGCAGCTTATATAGAGAGCCAATTTGGTGTACTGGTTAAGAGCGCAGACTCTGATTTGGGAGAATGGGGTTTGATTATCCACTTCTCCACATGAAGTCAGCTGGGTGACCTTGGGACAGTCACCGTACTCTCTGAGCCATATTCTCAAGGGCAGTTCTTGGAAGGGTTCTCTCAGCCCCACCTACCTCACAGGGTGTCTGTTGTGGGCAGGGGAAGGGAAAGGA